GAAGAGCGCAATGATAATACCAACATGGGCCAGTGAAGTGATGCCCTCCACAACTAGACTGAAGAACAAAAGGACAGCAACTTGTCTGTTCCCCTTCCCCCTATTCCCCAGCACTGTTCCTCTCCCCCAATTCCCCAATAAAATCTTAAAAAAAAAAAAGAATATAGTCAATAATATTGTAATAACTACGTACAGTGTCAGATGGGTATTAGATTTATCGGGGAGATAGATGGGAGAGGGGTTAGGGGGCAGGGTGAAAACAGTTGAAGGGGTAAAGAAGCACAAATTGGTCGTTACAAAATAGTTATGGGGATGTAAAGCAAAGCATAGGGAATATAGCCAATAATATGATAAGAACTATATACTATGCCAGGTGGGTACTAGATTAGTCAGGGTGAGCACTTCTAAAATTAGATAAATGTCTAACACTATGCTGTACACCTGAAATTAATATAAAATACTGAACATCAACTGTAACTGAAAAATTTAAAAAGCAGGGAAAAAGGTGAAGGGAAATAAGAGGTTCAAATTTCCAGGTACAAAACAAATAAGTCATAGGGACACAATGTACAGCATAGGGAATATAGTCAATAATATTGTGATAGCATGGTAGTGTCAGAGGGTTGCTGGACTTATCATGGTAGCCATTTCTGTAGGTATATAAATGCTGAATAACTATAGTGTACACCTGAAACTAATAAAATATTGTATGTTAGCTATATTTTAATAAAAATCTTTTTAAAATAAATAAATAAATAAAGCACACCAAAAATAATTACGATTACAGGGTTATTTAACTGATTTGATTTTGTATTTACCGGTATATGTATTTTCCCACAGAATGAAATTCTTAGTTCCCAATGACATTAACATAACTACTTCCTTTATCCTACTGTATTTATGAGTTTCAGAAATATAATACTGTAGTAGGCTGAACGACAGCCTCCCAATAGATGGTCATATCCTAATCCCTGGAATCTGTGAATATTACCATATCTTGCAAAAATGATGTGATTAAGGATCCTGAGCTGGGAAGATTATCCTGGATTATCTGGATGGACCCTAAATGCAGTCACACATATCCTAAAAAAGGGAGGCAGAGGGAGATGCATAAGAGCAGGGAATATGTCCACGAAGGCCGATATTGGAGAATGCTGGCAGCCACCAGGAACTGGAAGAGGCGAGGGGCAGATTCTCACCTAGAGCCTCCTGTCAACACCTTGATTTCAGCCCAGTGACAGAGTGTGCATTTCTGACCTCCA